GAGAGAGGGGAGAGGAAAGGGAAAGGAAAGAGAGAGAGAGAGAAAGAGGAAAGAGAGGGAGAGGAAAGAGGCATACAATAATTCATTTGCATTTAATTGTAATGGTTCAAAGAATGTTTGGAAAAATGTTCGGCCCTCCAGCACGTTCACTTCATCCAATCTGGCCCTCTTTGAAAAAAGTTTGGACACCCCTGCCCTAGAAGCTCTCTTTGTAGAGAAGTTGGACAGCAGATTTTGTAAGTTAAACTATACTAAACATGGATTGGCCAGAACTTTAAGGACAATAAGCTTTCTGAAGAATACACACTCTCTGGAATCTTAGCACAGACTCCTTCAGAATACTTTAAAACCTAAAAACCTGTAAATCCATTCACCACATCCATTCAGCATTGATTGGCATTTCTATATTTGAACATGATGAGAGAAATAAGGAGAGGCAAAAGTTGGGGGTCCTCCTTCACATCACTGAGGGTGTGTTATAGCCTAGAAACATCCAAATCAGTAATTATCCAGCTAATACATCTGGTTTTTGTACACTAAGATGGGAGACAGCCACCAGAGTAATATTTCTATCAATCTAAATACTGTTTATTCTGCAGCCTTCAGAATTTTGCTACGTGATATTTTCAACTCACCAGAGGCTAATTCCCATGCTGTTTATATCTAGCAACAAAGCTGTTTCGTATACCTGTCTGGATTGAAAAATGTAGGCCCACCCATACATGACAAACAGCATGCTTTAGCTGACAATGTTTTAAGATACATCAATCTTAAAAGTGTTTCTTTCCGGGGAAAAAGAGTCCAAATTCCCAAGGACGAAGGTCAGGTTAACAAGAGTGGGCTTGAGTCCAGTCACAGTCAGGCATAATAAGAAGTGAAGTTCAGCCACATTTGGAAAGTCACAGGTTCTTTGATCTTTATCTTACAACTGTCACTACAATTTGAAATAATACCTGAGTGAAAACTGAAAAGTTCAGGAAGAAAGTTATGGGTTTTACCTGTGCTGGAATATTCCCAAGTTGTATGTCTAGAAATTTCTGACGTTTTCTGACTGATATTTTCTGATGGAGTAGAAGTCTCTATTTTTAAATAAAAAATAAAATCCATAATTAGTTACAGCAATACAGATTATGTATTTCTTTTAACAGATTTATGGTAAAGAATAGGTGAGAACAACATGGTGGTAACTCTTGCTATTCCTTTTATCAATTTCTTGCAATGTTTTATTGATATTTGGTTGGTTGCTTAACAACTTTCAAATGTGTTTTGGTGGACATGGCAATCTTTAAGTCAATTTAAAAGTCCCTGTTATGATGGGTAATGGATTTGTGTGTTACCAGAAAAAAAGGCATTCACCCGATCTTAGGTAATTTATTCAGGTTTGGGAAGCATTACTTTAGACCAAGTTCCATAATAGTTCCATAATCACTAATTAAATATCTCTATCCAACTTTACAGAGCCTAACTAAATCAGTTTTTCAACCATATTTATGTGTGATATTTTTTCCATCATGGAAAGGAAATAATTTTGAAAGATTTCTGCTGTTCCTTCTCTAAGTTGCTTTTTTTTTGCAATTGTACTCCAGGGTTCTTAAAATTTATTTGTAAAGTTGAAAAGTGAAACAATTAATGTTGCATTAGTTATGATTCACAATATAAAAAATACAGTATTGATGCAATGACTGGCTAGGTGGGTGGGTATATACGTATTTTCCTCTTGTTAATCAAGACTATAATAAAAGTTGTTTGGAGAAATTTCTACATTTTAGGAAAACCACACATATTTATCAAGAGATATTGACACAGAAGTTTCTATATTTAATCTTTATATATAACACAGAGCACAGGATATACAGTATATTGGAAAAAATCTTGAATTTTTCCCTCTTCTTCCACTTTTTCCTGAACACTTTCTTGAAAGGAGGCTGGGAGATTTTAAAAAGGAATCCATAATATTCTTCCCAACGGTTCTGCATAGTTTCTGCCTTCTGAGCAGCCCTGAACAAATGTTCTAACTGGGAGAGATTGTGATCCTTTTGGGAGAAAGCAATCTGCGTGCTAACATGGCTGAAACACCGCTTTTGCCTTGTAGAGTCACAGAGTAGAGGAAATATTTCATTTCTGTTGTCTGGAGCCTCTTCATCATGTAATGCCAGAGACCCCAGTTTCTCTCTTCTTCGCCTTGCTGCTTGCAAATAACATTTTGTGCTGACACCAGACAGATGACCTCATTTCAGATAGGTCCCAAAGTGGAATGAAGACAGAGTGTCTCATCAGAATCCATTATGCCTTTGTCAATAACTGACTAGGAAATTAAATCAAGCTGATACTCTCCACTGCACAGAATCATGTTTTCTTGTTTCTTGTTTCTAAGGCAGACCGGTGGCCAAGTCGCCACAAATCAGTTTAAGTTTGTATCAAAGCTTCCAGCATGTCAGATGTTCTCATTCAGAGAAAAATGACAAATGGTGCATTCTACCATTAGGCAGAGCCAAACAGCTCCCTTTAGTTTGGGAGGTACCTGTGAATTAGGGAGACCATAGCTCAGTGGTGGCGAACCTATGGACGCATGCCAGAGGTGGCACTCAGAGCCCTCTCTGTTGGCACGCATGCCACTGCCGCCAGCAGCAGGTCCATCAGGGCGTCACCGCCGCCCGGAGTAGGAGCTCCGCCCAGCACAAAGGAGGCAAAGTGGCCAACTAGCAAGCTCAAGTAGAGGTGGTAGAGCAGAGGTCACCAACCATTGTCGATTGGTGGACTGGAAGAAAAGGGAGGGGGAAGTATTTTACATGCACGGGGCCGCAAGCACACACGTGCTGCAAATGGGGTGGGGCTACTGCCTGCGTGATACTCACCCTCCCCCGTTCTTGCGTAGTGCAGTGCCTTGTATCTATACCTCGTGGCGTGGTGTCAGCCATTTTTGCACCTTGCAGCATGGTGGCCCATTTTTGCACCCCCAGTTTTTGCGTGCCAGAGGTGGCACTCAGAGGCACCTCCCTGCCCCCCTCAAGGGCACCACAATGCTGATGCGGCCCTGGCAGTTTGTGATAAATAAGTGGGTTTTGGGTTGCAGTTTGGGCACTCGGTCTCTAAAAGGTTCGCCATCACTGCCATAGATAGTCCTTAACTTACAATCACAATAGTGACCAAAAAAATTGTCATTAAGCAATGTGGTTTAAGGCAGACATTGCACGACCCCACCCAATTTTTTGACTATCTTTGCTGGGATCATTAAGCAAGACATTACATGACTGCAACTTCAACCTTCCTTGCTAGCTTCCCCACTGGTTTTGCTTGTTGGAAGCCAGCTGGGAAGGAAACAAATGGCAACCATATAACTGCAAAATACTACAATGGTTGCGTGAGGACTGGTCATAAGCCATTTTTTTCAGCACTGTCAGAACTTTGAATGGTTGTATGTCAAGGAATATCTAAATACAGACTGATCGGTTTGTTCTTCTGAAGTGGTGAAATAAGAAGAACAGCATTTCATTCTCCACTTCAGCTAACAAAATGTCTTAGACTGTAGTTTGGAATGTTAAATATTAGGATTTACCTTCTGTTATGTTGGATTCTATGATTTTTTTAAATATCATTTTAACTTTTTTGAAATATATAAAAATGTTTAAGCCATTTACAGCCCATAATAGAAGTGGCTGGTATATACAGTAATGTAACTACCATAACTGTTGGAATATACTAACACTAATATATATATATAGCTTTAAAAAGATAAATTTCATGGAGGAGAGGTCTATCTATCAAGGACTCTAAGACTTGAAACACAACATTACTTCTGGGTTGGGGGCAGCAGGCCTCCAAATATCAACCCCAGGAGAACAACTCCAAGAAAGAAAGTAACGTCTTTGTTAGTAGCTTCTGAATGCCGCAATGTTAGCCTGATTCTGCAGAGCAATTCCAGCATACACTTGTAGCAATGGAGACTGGCTACAAGAAGAAACTTGACATCAAGGCCCCATGATGTTTTCAAACATTTGCATTAAAAAAAAAAAACAGAAGAAAGCAACCAGTCAATGGGTAACTGAAGACAAAGCACAAATTTCAAAAATAAAAATGTAGACAGACCACAAAGCTTGAAAGTATATGAATGCATAGTATAGTTGCTGCTTTGAATGTGGCAAAATATAATGTCAGAGGTGGTAATTCTCATCATGTCAAAAAGGACAGGTGAATTTCATAGATGTGGATCAGGAGCTTTGCAAAATATGTTATCAGAAGGTTAGTAACCATGACTACTAACCTTGATGGCTATAGATAATCTCCAATACATAAAGTCTCATAATTCTACTTAGTTTGGCTCCTTATTCTATGGGATAGTAAGATTTCATCCTACCCTGTTTGCGACATTTTGCTTGATGAATGTGAGAAAATGTGAGAATGTGAGAGGCTCCAAATATGATTCAAGATAGTTTTTCCTAACATTTTTACCTCTGCCACACTTGTGCATAACTCTTCAGATAATCATTTTGGATGTTCCTCTCTCAATCCTGAACCAGCATTTTAATCTTCAAGTATATCTCAAAAGTAACATCGGAGAAAAATGCATGCATAAATAGAGGGGCCTAAAAGCACTTTAAAATACTTTGCCCACAACTTTCTTTAAAAATTCTGGAAAGTACTAAAATGTGTCAAATGTCTTCAAGATGAATCAAAAAGGCAAAACATAAACCAAAAAATGTTGAGCAAATTAGTGAAGCTGACTTTCAGTTTTACTTATATTCTTTTTCTGTTCTGCTGATAATAGAAATGTTGGATAGAGAGAGGAGACAGAATGTAGTGTCTTCAAGTCAGTCTTGATTCCTGTCAACCACCTACATGAGTCCCTGTAGTTTTATTGGCAAGGTTTTTTGGAAGTGGTTTGCTATTGTCTTCTTCATAAGAATGAGAGAGACTGACTGGCCCAAGGTCACCCAGTTGATTTCATACCTATGTTGGGCCTGGAATTCCCACTCTCCTGGTTTATAACCCATAACCTTAATCATTACACCAAAGTGACTCTCAGTGATATAGAGGTACAATATTAAAAGGGCACCCATAAACAATGGTTAGTGATGTGTTTTATTATGATAAGAGTTTGAGGGGGGCATCTAGGTCAATCCTCCTCTACAATCCATTTTAAAGCATCTCCAAGAAATAATGCTCAGCATCTGCTTAATCACGACATGATGGAAAGAAATAACTCAAATGTATAAACACTGCAATGGATTTATTATTGAATTTATTTGAAATAAGAGTCAATAATAAAAGAAAAACTTTCAGCATTTCTACCAGGGCACTAGTAGATCAATAAAGGAAAATGGGGGAAATGGAAATAAATATTTATATGGCCAATTTTGAACTGGGAATCCTCCATTGTTAGGAAGGCAAATATAATAATACTATAGCAAGCAAACCCTATTACTGGAACAATAGCTGCAGCAGTGAGTAGATGAGTCAAATCAAGAAAAATGTAAGCAGGAATAGTTATCTATATATCTAGTAGTTAAGGCACCAGGTTAAGAAACTAGGACCCGGTGAATTCTAGTTGTGCCTTAGGCATGAAAGCCAACTGCATGACCTTGGACCAGTCTCTCTCTTTCCACCCAACCCACATCACAGGGTTGTTCTAGGAAAAATAGAAGGAAGCAATATTAGGTATGTTCACCCTCTGGAGTTATTTATAAAAATAATAAAAGTGGGATATAAATAAATATATTATCTATCCATCCATCCATCATCTATTGTCTATCTCTTACCCGTCCATTCATTCATCATATTCATCTTTCAGGTAAGTGTATATCTACAAATTTATGCAAGAGGGGGGAAAAACAGCAAAATCCATCCCCAAACCTTTGACAAATATACCATTCATGTCTAATCTCTACACTTCTGCAAGTAAAGTGTGCAGGATCACATTACTTATAATATATATAATGGCAAAGTTAAGTTTTTAACAAAAAAAAATACATGTGTTAAAAGTTCTGGTATTTTGCCTACACGCCCTTAACTAAACATACCGCAGTAGGGAGTAATTCTTTTCTTGTCCTGTAATGTGTTTAAACTTAAGAAATCATTTACACTAAAGAGATTATAGCATCTTAAACCCAAATACTTACCAATTCATGGAGTGCAACCTTCAACTATCACAAAACTCCTGCAAAGCAAGGCAGTTTTTCTAACATTATCTTGACCTTTCCTAATGCTGCTAAAATTAATGTGTTATTAGACTAACCTGGTTTTGTTTAGTTCAGTATTATTTAGCTTACTTTTGGTTTATTTGATTAAAACTAAGCCACTGAACACCAGAGAATGTACCAATAAAGGAGAATATTTGTAGCTCAGGGTTGAAATGAGGGGTCCTTGGTGCTCTCTGAGCTTGCTTGTTTTCTTGCAGATATTTTGTGACCCAAACTAGGTAGCATCTTCAGTAGTAGCAATGTTTGATGTTACCTACTTTGGGTAATGCAAGGAAACAACCAAGCTCAGAGAGCACCAAGGACCCCAACAGAGAATGTTGCTATAGGAATTCAGCTTCTCAAAGAAACGCAGTTGGGCCTCTGGATTAGACCGGCTTTGAATATCCAATCATAGTTACTTGGGACACTTTAATGTGGATTCCTACATAAACTAGAAGGCTTCCCTTGATTGCTTTAGCTGCTTTAGGATAAACCACATGCAGGATCTGATGCAGTGCCTCTCCTTAGCCCTGCTTTCCAACAATCCCTGTTAAAGAGAATCTGTTTTGGAACCAAGAGTTTCCTTAGAGTCTTAGCAAGGAGAAAGTTACCTGTAAAGCTGAATTTTAAATCAATGTTCTAATCTATGCCAACAATAAAGCCCTTTTCTGGGTGTGGGAGTTTGTGAAACCAAAATCCAACCAGCTCCACACAAAAGAGAAGTTGTGTTATTCATATACATACATTCATGCTTCAACAGTTGAAATTCTTTAGGCTGTTGATGAGGCTGACGTTTGTAACTCTTTAAGGAAAAAAACTGCAACAACAGTCTAATAATAATAATAATAATAATAATAATAATAATGATAAAGTTGGAAGGGACCTCGGAGGTCATCTAGTCCAACCCCCTGCTCAGGCAGGAAACCCTATACCATTTCGGAAAAATGGCTGTCCAGTCTCTTCTTAAAAACTTCCAGTGTTGGTGCATTCACCACTTCTGGAGGCAGGTTGTTCCACTGGTTAATTGTTCTAACTGTCAGGAAGTTTCTCCTTAGTTCTAGGTTGCCAGAGCAATCGATGTTGCTGACTGTTATATAACTAAAGCGGTGGCTGTCACCGCTTTAGAATTTCATTTAAAAAAAATACAAAGATATACAACTTTGTTCCCAGAATAATTCTTGGACAATCCCAAAATAGGTATGAAAGAAGAAAATGTTCTCTCTGCCCAAGTCTGGTTTTATAAACTGCTATCAAATGTCCCCATGGATTTTTTTTTCTAACCCAATTGCACCTTAACATTTTCTTATATTAATTAATGTCTTCCCAGTTTAAAGTGTACCTGGATTTGATAATTCAGCATAAGCAATAAATTGATCAGCAAATTCTAAATTAATTTGCTACCCAATGAAGATTATTCTGTCAAAATTGCATATCTTTAACTGCCATTGATCCTGGTGAAATTAACACGGTTTCTATTCTGAAGGATGTTTTTTTATAATAGGTATCTTGTAATGAATAAATATTGGCAATGTAAACTATGTATGGTCAAGAATTCTATCAATGCTACAGAGTCTTGTTTAAAAAGTATAACTGATAAATAGAATTACTGGCACACATTCTTTCTTGATCAATCTTATTCCACCAGAATTTTTGTCACATCCAATTTTGTAGTGATAGTAATGGAGCTAGATAGAAATGTGGCTGAAACAAAATTGGATGAGGTCTAAATCCAATTAAAATCAAGAGGATCACATAGTGTATATATATCTCTATTCGGAAATAACTCTTAAAGAGCTTCATAGTACTTATTTCTAAGTATGTATATGTGGGTGGGTGGGGGAAGGAAGGGTTGTTGTTGTTTCTGCCTTTTGAGTCACTGTTGACTCCTGGAGACTGTCTGGACAAATCCCTACAGTTTTCTTGGCAAAATTGTTCAAAGTGTCTTAAAGGTGCTTTTCTTCAAAGACAACTGGACTTTCTTGTTTTACCTGAAGATGTTTCACTTCTGATCCAAGAAGTTTCTTTAGTTCTGATTGAATGGTGGAGAATGGGAGGATTTATATCAGAACTGAAGAAGCTTCTTGAATCAGGAGCAAAACGTCTTCAAGTAAAACAAGAAAATCCAGTTGCCTTTGAAAAAAGCACCTTTGGAACCACCGTGGCCTGGATGACTAAGATTCTCCATAGACATTGTACAAAGTGTTTTGCCACTGCTTGTTTCCTAGGGCTGAGAGAATGACTGGCCCAAGATCACCCTGCTGACATTGTGCCTAAGGCGGGAATAAAACCCAGGGTCTCCCAATTTTTATCTGGAAACCACCAGGCTCTGGTAAAGTTGAACTATATGGTTATAATTTTAGTTCAAATAACTTAATCTGAATTTTATGCATGAGTTTTAATTTCTTAAATCTGCTTATTTTCCTGTAAATTACTTTGCAGAAACTGATTAAAATATGTTAATCAAATGTACTATAAAAACTGAGATCATGAAAAGAACACTTTTCAATAATTATTATGCATGCAATTAAATTAACAAATGTTAACCAATTGCTCCTTGAAAAAGTTTCTTTTTTTTAATCACTGAACATAAATCTTAGTGAAACATTATCTCAATTCATTTTCAGATGGAAATGACAATAACACTTTCTAGAGGTTTGCTGTGATACCAACAGGAAAAGCAAAATATTGTGTAAGTGTGGGTGTGCTTATTATGAAGCAACATTCAAAGGCACAGCAGTTTTTGAAATGTGTCTTGTGCCAAGAGAAAGAATAGTAATAGATATGTAGCACAACTAGCCATTTTTAAAGAAAACTGACCTCCTGGATCTTTGGAGTGTAGAGAAACTTATATAAGATACTATATGCCACAATTAAACAAAACACTTTACAATACAGCCCAAATATGAATTCAGTCTTTGTGGTCTCTAGCCCAAAACGCATGGCTTTATGGGATTTTCAGTATAACATCTTATTGGGCTAATAAATAAATCATGTTTAAGCAAGCCCAGATTTTGTGAGAACCAGGTCATTGCGTTTCTGTGGTTGTGGTTGCACCATAGCAGCTGAACTGAAACAAAGCAACATATCTATTTGTAGCTGATTGAACTGGGAGAGAAGAAATTAAATTTTTAACACTTCTTACTATGAATACTTCTCAAAAGACCAGAAGGGGATGAAAAGATTCTCAAAAATATTAATTTCTGTCCTGAGATTAAAGCCCATTTAAAAGGAGAGTCAGGTTTAACTTTTAGGAACAATGTGAATAATCCCTGTAGTTTTTAAAGTAATAATACGGGAATAGTACCAAAATACAAAATCTTGGCACTTACTCTAGGAAGAAAATTCTTCCTAAGTTTCAGTCGCACCCTCCCCACCAGTTTCAAACACCCCACATTTGTTGGCTTGGTCTATCATCATCTATGTTTTTCAAACTACATCACCTCTTAATTTTCTTTTTGCTGGACTAAATGCGCCCAACTGATCAATTATACTTCTTAGACTTTGGTTTCTCATCCATGAGGCTGTGAAACTCTCCTACACATATGGCTGATCATGTCTGGTAAAAGGAATTCTTCTAATGCCAGCCTTCCCCATCTTTTAACAAGCACCAACCAACACCAAGAGTTTTCAGAATGCCCTTGTCCCAATATTGACTTTAGTCAAATAGTAAAACCGAGGAATCTAACAGGCTTGCAGAACATAAAACTTTTATAGGCTAGAGATAAAACTAGAGTCCATTTCACTAGTGCAGCGAGGGTTCTCTTCAACAGGAACATATACTGTGGAATAAAACGTCCAACAAAGTTCTAAACGAAAAGAAAAGAAAAAAAGAAAAGAAAAGAAAAGAAATCAAGGAATGAGATGTGAAAGAGCTGCAGTTATTAAGAGTAGTTTGCCGGTGATTTCACAGCAATGCTAACATAAAATCACAGGAAATGGTGCCTGAAGAGCACCATCTTCTACTCTCAGCAACTGTTACCCATCTTTAGGTACTTCATCATTCACTGGTGCGCGCGCGCACACACACACAACACGCACACACCTTCATTCAAGTAAACTAATACATAATTTAGAGGCAGCGAGGTTTGGGGACTATGGTGATCTCTTACATACCGTTACATAAATCCAACCATGATCTAAAATGTTCATAATCACAATCTGTTTCCCGGGCTTGGACGCGAGGACGGGCGCGGGAGAGTCTGGTCCCAATGCCGCAAAGCAGGCAGGTTGGATGCATTAATACCCAGATGTAAAGGTAGGAGACGGGTTCTGCTCAGCGTCTTTTTCCCGAAGAAGGAGCCTTGCTCGTACCGGGTAAGTACTTTCCCCCCCCCTCTCCCGCTTCTTTGGCTGAGAGCGGATTCTGCGAAGGTGACTTAGCAGTCCCCTTGGAAGATGACCCGAGGATGACTCCGCCTGGGTCGCTGCAGAGCCTTCCAGCCGCCCTCCGACAAATGAAAAGAAGGGACCCACGAGTGGGCGAAGGAAATGAAGTACCTGAAGCTTCAGCCTCCGCGGGGCCCCAAAGGGCCAGGAGCAGGACCAGCTGTAGCACGGTCGCGCCGGAGCCCCTCATGGTGCAACCGGCCTCCGAGCGAGCTGTGCGCCGAGTTTAAATGCCGCAGCGCCCCTAGCGGCCCTTCTCGGCTCCTGCAACCGGTTCTCGGGTTTCGGTGCTCCAGTTGGCTTGGCGCGGCTCTAATAACAGGATCCTGACGTCAAAGGAGAAGCCGGCGGCTATTGGGGCGCTGCCTTGAGCGGCGAGAGAGAATCGCCTGCCCGTCGGACGCGCCGCTCGATCCCAGGACGGAGCCCTTCCGCTGGGGGCTCCTTCCTCAACGTGGCGCTCTCTAGACTGCAGGGGCTTGAGGCTCCCATCAATGCCAGTGAGGGTGGCCGCGGCCCAAAACCTCGCCAACCCTTGGGGCGGGAGGGTAAAGGCGGGGATGGGTCGGCGGCTCATAGCTGGGAGAAACGAGGCCATCGATGGGGCGCGATCGGGGGTCAGTGATCGAACACGCGCTTGGTCCAAGGCCGGGGCATCTTCTGGCATTAAATAGCGGAGAATGAAAAGTCGTCAAAACTGGGAAAGTTGGATTTGGGTATGTCTAGTTTAATGAAGAGAAGGACGAGGGGGGACATGATAGCAGTGTTCCAATATCTCAGGGGCTGCCACAAAGAAGAAGGAGTCAAGCTATTCTCCAAAGCGCCTGAAGGCAGGACGAGAAGCAACGGGTGGAAACTGATCAAGGAGAGAAGCAACTTAGAACTAAGGAGAAACTTCCTGACAGTTAGAACAATTAACCAATGGAACAACCTGCCTCCAGAAGCGGTTGATGAAACAGGAGTTTTATTATTTTCAACATAAGAAAAAAAACACATCACAAGTACATCACAATTGAAACCCCCCCC